TCTTTCTTTCACTAAATACCTTTTTTTTCATCAAATGAGGGGTTGCGACAAGTATGATATTGAAACAAAGAAGTTCATTTAAAGTAGACTGTAGAATGTATATTTTATTAACCAACATTAAGATAGACTACAGGTTTACACTATGAAGATGGTTGTGGAATTGGCATCAGTTCAGTTCAGTCACTCAGTCGTGTCTGACTCTTTGAGACCCCATGGACTGTAGCATGCCAGGCTTCCCTGTCCATCACCAACTCCCGGAGCCTACTCAAACTCATGTCCATCGTGTCAGTAATGCCATCCAACCATATCACCATCTGTTGTCCCCTTCTCCTCCCACCTTCCATCTTTTCCAGCATCAGGGTCTTTTCCAATGAGTCCATTCTTCGAATCAGGTGGCTAAAATAGTGGAGTTTCAGCTTCAGTATCAGTCCTTCCAATAAATATTCAGGACTGATTTCCTTTAGGATTGACTGGTTTGATCTCCTTGCAGTCCAAGGAATTGGCATAAGAATGTATAAATAAACCTAATGGAACAAACTGAAGAGTTCTGAACTAAAACCATGTAAATATAAAATTGTGATATAATATTGGTGGCATCATAAACCAATGAGGAAAACTTGAACCATTTAGTAGAAGGTATAGGAAACAGTCTCCTCTGGGGAATAAAAAAGTTGAATCCTTACTTTATACCATATACAAGGGTTAAATCCAGCTGGATTAAATATTTACATAAAAAGGCACCTATAATTTTATATGACATATAGTTTTACAGCAGTGATAAAAATTTCTCACCACAAGACCATAATGTGAATCCTTTATAATTGCTTGCCCCATTTTCTTCCCATCCCAGATAATAATAACAATAATAATTGATGTTTATTTAGCATTTACTATTTACTGCTCCTACTACTGCCACTGGGGCTTCCCAGGTGACACAGTGGTAAAGAATCGACCTGCCAATCAGGAGACACAGGAGCTGTGGATTCGGTCCCTGGGTTCAGAAGATTCCTTGGGGGAGGAAATGGCAACCCACTCCAATATTCCTGCCTGAGAAATCCCATGAACAGAGGAGCCTGGTGGGCTACAATCCATGGGATCATGAAGAGTCGGGCATGACTGAGCATGTATGCACATTATTACTACTGCTACTAATGATAATAACAATAAGTGACATTATTGACACTTACTTTAACTAGCATAAATGCTAAATTCATTACAAAAAACGGTATAGTAGGTACTATGAATGGAGAAGGAAATGGCAACCCACTCTAGTACTCCTGCCTGGAAAATCCCATGGACGGAGGAGCCTGGTAGGCTACAGTCTGTGGGGTTGCGAACGTTGGACATAACTGAGCAACTTTGCTTTCACTTTTCACTTTCTTGCATTGGAGAAGGAAATGGCAACCTACTCCAGTGTTCTTGCCTGGAGAATCCTAGGAACGGGGGAGCCTGGTGGGCTGCCGTCTATGGGGTCTCACTGAAGTGACTTAGCAGCAGCAGGTACTATGAAAACTGGTTTTGAGATATTCCATACCTGATAAGGAATACAAGACTAATAAATGTTAAACCTTTGAAATCTTTAACTCTGAAACCTTGAAACTAACATATTAACTCTCTACTTAATCATTCCACAGTTACCTCTCACATGATTCTCCTTGAAGATATAACAGTTCCCTGATTATTTATCTTTTGGAGGATGTCACCATGAGATGAAACATGTATTCCTCCTGGCTTATTTCTTCTTAAAACTCATTCCAAAGAGGAGGTACTTAATTGAATCAAATGTATTGGTTCAATTAAGATATCTTGTCTCATTTCAAGAAACACATGTTTCTTATTTAACAAACACTCTAAATCAGTTATTCTTAACACCAAAGTTATTGGCTAGTCAAATTTGTTAATTTACTCAAAATGTATATTAAATATTCAAAGTCAGATACATTCAAAATGTATTTTATCTTTCACTTCCAAAGCATATGCATTATATAAATATAATCCAAAATATTGTAGTCTGTAAGAGATAGAATTATTTGTTTTTAGTGGAGGCTCAAACAAGTATATGATGCCCCCAAATTTAAGAATAAAAGAAAATGGCAATCCATACAAGCAAATCACTATTTATACTTTAAAAACCAGTCAATCCTAAAGGAAATCAACCCTGGATATTCCTTGCAAGGACTGATGCTGAAGCTGAAGCTCCAGTACTTTGACCACCTAATGTAAAGAGCTAAGTCATTGGAAAAGACCCTGATTCTGGGAAGGACTGAAGGCGAAGGGAGAAGGGGATGGCAGAGGATGAGGTGGTTAGATAGCCTTGCCAACTCATTGAACATGAGTTTGAGCAAATTCCAGGAGATTGTGAAGGATAAGGGAGCCTAGCATGCTGCAGTCCATGGGATCCCGAAGAGTCAGACATGACTTAACAACTGAACAACAATCTTTTCTATGGTTTTACAAAGAGTGTAAATCTGTATTTAATGTTCTACATACCATCCTAGTATTCTGAGATCTTGACTCAAGAGTAGAAGTGTAACTGGGTACCACTCACTCATTCTCAAAGCATAGAGGAAGAAATCATATTTATTAAAGGATTGGAATGTCAAAGCAATGTGTAAAATTTTAATTTTATGTCTTGATTCACTCTATAACTTATGCCCAATTACAACCATTATTATTTTTTGTTTTGTTTATTTTGTTTCATTTGCTTGACCACAGTGAGATGCAAAGAGCAAAACCTATCAGTCATCTCCACTGGTATAGATGCATCATATTTACCTGATCCTAATTATATTTTAATTACCATTTTATATAGGTGTTTAATTATTAAAACATTTTTTGTATTTTTTGCAAGTTGCCTCAAATTCATTGTATAAAGGGCAAAGCTGTAAATAGATTTCATTCAAAGACTGGCATTTATCTTGTCATTATCTGCCATTCCATTTCACCTGTTAACCTGTTTTACCAGCAGATCTTTAATAATTTTAATGATATATTTTAATGTCTCAAGCATTTAGTGTGAAACCAATGTACCAGTGTTTGAAACACACAGAAAAAGTGTTTCTGTGTCAGTGTGTGCATGTTAAGGGGAAGTGCAATAGTTCTTTCAGTCCCAAATTAAACTAAAGGCTCCAAAAATTTTATTAGGTTCTCTGATACAGTACTGTTTAAATCTTTACCATCTTATTCATAAATTTCCTACCTATTCTGACCTCAAATAGACTTTCACTCTGGTTCTGAACATCTTTCAAGAGGATAGCACTAATCCAGTAGAGATTATCATATGCCAGATAACACAAAGGAGCAGTGTCTGGTTATGGTGAGAAACTTAGTAGGGATATCGAGAGGAACAGAATCACTCTGAATAAGGAACTGATTCAAGCTGTAGTCAGAATTGTGTCAGGCTGTAGGTAGGAACATTGTCAAGCTATGGAGAAGAATAGAGTCAGGCTCTAGTGAGGAATAGCATCAGGCTGTATTGAGGGCCAGAGCCAGGCCATAGTGAGGAACACAGTGAGGGTGTAGTGAGTAACAGGTTCATGGTGTAAGAGTGGAGCAGATTCAGGCCTCTTAAAAGCTGAATTGGAAGTTGAAATCAAGAATGTGAGAAGTGAACTCACCCTATCACCACTCATGACGCTCATGACTAGAAGCTTGTATAATGAGCCTCTCATGAGCTATATACTCAGACAGGCAAAGGCCATGTTTTCCACCATCAGTCACTTTTATTGGTATGTATTCGATCAAGGTCATCGGCTCTCATATAGAGCTCATCCCTCAGACTGAATATGCCTCTGAAGTTTTCCTGAATGATTTGATGGTTTGGTTTCTACTAGAAGCGCCTCTGGAGTTGATTCTTACTGGTGATTTTAAATGTTCATTGTTGACAACTGAGGCTGTGGTGCATTGAAGTGTGCTCCCAGATATGTCTGCCAATGCAAGAGAACTCGGGTTCAACCCCTGGGACAGGAAGATTCCCTGGAAAAAGGAATGGCAACCCACTCCAGTCTTCTTGACTGGGAAATCCCATGGACAGAGGAACCTGGAAGGCTAGAGTCTATGGGGTGCAAAGAGTTGGACATGACTGAGAGGCTAATACTTTTTCACTTATTCCAGATCTCAGGTTGCACATAACCATAACACCCTGACAGATTTTTTTTTCCTTTTTTTTGCAGTTGCTCAAAATTTTTATACATGGCTTAAGTCTTTTTCCTTAGTAGTTTTATCTGATTTTCTCTCTTATGAGCCTAAGAGTCTTACTTTTTTATAAAATGTGATAATCAATGTTTCCCCAATCCCAAACATTTAACTTATGAAGATAGATTATTGTTTCAAAATGTAGTTATTTTATTGGGATAAACATATTAAAAGTTGTTGGACTAATGTAGAACTTCATGCTATCATGTAAGATTTATGTCTTTTAAAAGGGCTTCCCAGGTGGCACTAGTGATAAAAAACCCACCTGTTGATGCTGGAGACATAAAAGGCTTGGGTTCGATCCCTGGGTTGGGAGGATCCCCTGGAGGAGGGCGTGGCAACCCACTCCAGTGTTCTTGCCTGAAGAATTCCATGGACAGAGGAGTGTGGTGGGCTATAGTCCACGGTGTCCAAAGAGTCAGACACGACTGAAGCAGCTTAGCACAGCTCACACATACCTCATCAAACCATGCCTGGTGCAAAGGATTCAGTAATAACTAGCTATGATGAGGAGGAGGGGGTTATTATGATTACTACATTGACCCTTGATTTATACTGACATATAATTATGATTCTGACATTTTCAAGCTTATTCTGCATGTTTTTCTTTTTTCTCAAATCTAAATATTTTATTTTATAGTTACACCCCAAATTGTGCTTTTTTCACTATATACTTTTAACTTGAGGACATCTGTAAAATTAGTACAGTACAGAAATCCTGAAAGAAATTCTACTAACTATAAACTATTTAAATATTGCTTATACAAAATATTTAAAGGTCAGGGGGGGTGCAAAAGCTTATTTAAAAACAGAAAATGGATATAGAAAACTTATGATTACCAGGAGAGAGGGGTACATTGGAGGATGGACACTGGCATATACACACTACTATACAAAAACAGATAGAGTAGGAAGTGGCAGCCCACTCCAGTATTCTTGCCTGAAGAATCCCATGGACAGAGGAGCCTGGCAAGCTACAGTCCATGGGTTTGCAAAGAGTTGGACAGGACTGAAGCAATTTAGCATACATAAAATGTGTAACTAAAACCTGTATAGCACAGGGAACTCTACTCAACACTGTGTGATGGTCTATATGACAAAAGAACAAGTGGATATATGTATAACTCATTCACTCTACAATACACCTGAAACTAACACAACATTGTAAATCAACTATACTCCAATAAAAATATAAGAAAATATTAAAGGAAGGCCAGTACCATATAAACAGCATACACTTAAATACAAGAGATGAATGTTTAACATACAGAGTAATGTTTTTTATTCACTGATAAGCTGAAGGTCCATTTCAAGATGTTTCTTTCTTTAGTATGCTTAATTTGTTTTATTAGCAAGCAGAGCCCTATAAAGGATGGCATCATCTAGTCCTCAGACTCAGATTCATCTTCATCTTAACTAATCTGGAATTAACGAAGCTCATAAGTCTCCTTGTCAGATGCAGCCACACAAAGCCAATCACAAAGATTGTTCTTTTTGAGGTATTTCTTGGTAAGGTACTTCAAATAGCTTTTAGAGAATTGTTTCTCAGAAACGACTATGATTTTATTCTTGAAGTGTTCAATGTGAATGACATCCCAAGATTTCCAGTCTTTCCAAACTTTAATCTTCTCCCACAGAAACTGTTCAACATTTCCAGAATCAAAAATTTCATCTTCTACTGGATGAATAAGCTCCAAATTAAAATTCCAGGTTGACTTCTTAGGCTTCTTATCTTTCTTCTGGGCCATCTTGAAGGCTTGCCACGTGATCAGAGCCTTTTTTTTTTTTTTTTAAGTTGACTTTTTCTTGTAATTTAGTGTTACCTGGAATTTGATGAGTATGTTTCATAGACTTAATTGCAAGTTAGGAAAAGCAGTAGGTACAATGAGCATTAAATGTGTGTAATTTGAGAAGACACATGTCTACATACTTTCTCAGGTTACGATTGAAGTATTGATAGCATCTGTGATATGTCTATCACCTGATATATTCAAGACAACGTGGGACAATACTAAAGCTTTAGTGAAATCAGATGGATTTGCTCATACTATGTGAGGATATAAATAATCATTAACATAGCTAATTCAGAAATTAAAATTCATGCATTAAATATTTAGGCAACTAATTTTATTAAATGAATAAATATTTTGACAGCTTATCCATTAAAATAGCTTGTTTAGTTCTTTTACATTTGAGGTGAGGAAGCTGAGGCTTCAGTGGGTTAAGTTACCTGTCTGAGTTTACGTGACTTATGAGGGACAGAGTCAAGTCTCCAATCAGGAAATTTTTAAGCAAAATCCAGTTCTTCTTTCTACAACAAACTTCTTTATTGTGTTCATTATTTCCCTCTGAGGGTGTGTGTGTGTGTGTGTGTGTGTGTGTGTGAATGATGTTGGCAGTGAGTAATGGGCAGTGAGTAATGCATATTACATGGTTTATATAAAGCTATTGTACCTAATACAAAACTTTAATTTCGACACCAACATGGTCAAAATCTTTGCTAAAACTTCTTTATTGTGTTCATTATTTCCCTCTGAGTGTGTGTGTGTGTGTGTGTGTGTGTGTGTGTGAATGATGTTGGCAGTGAGTAATGCATATTACATGGTTTTTATAAAGCTATTGTACCTAACACAAAACTTTAATTTCGACACCAACATGGTCAAAATCTTTGCTAAATTTTTCTTTTTAATATACTTCTAGCTCTTTCCCAAATACTGAACAGCCCTATCTACCAACTTCCCATTGATTTCAAATATCAGAAAAATTTTCCCATTGTTTTATTATTTAAAAAAACACATTGTTATTAGGTCTTATGATTCCTGTTTTCAGTTTGCAGAGCTCCTCTGGATTGTTTGCAAGAGATATTATCAATGGAATTTTAGAAGCAGCAAGCTAACATTAATTCTGTATAAGTATATGCAGTAATCTCATGGTTAAGATTATACTAGAAAGGCAATGTAAAAAGTAAAAAGAAAAACTAAATTTTTTTTTCTTAGTTTCATGACTATAATTTATTTCAAGTGAGGATATCATGTAAGTTTACTTTCCATAAACTACTCTCAGATATCTGTGCCTGAGAACTTTGATGATAAGAACTTAGCAATGTAGATACATATCCTCTGAGCTCTCAGATGAGACGACTGCAGTAAAAAGATCAAATATAGCCCAATAGAAGTGAGTCTCAATATGCAATTTCACACAATATGCAATTTCAAATTAGTTAACCTGTAATATTGTTTTCTTCTTCATTTCTACCAAGAAGCTGATTTGGGATTCATTTATATTCAGTAAACAAAATGAAATCTCTTTCTGTCACTGCTCCTAGCCTCAAAGACTAGAGGAATGCGGCAGAGATTAATGGTCATGATTAACTCCCTACAGGTTGTGGTTTCATGCCCCAGTGATTATTCTGTCATTATTCTGCATGAGATGCAGCTAGAGCACATATGCTTTCAGCCACAAAGCCAGACAAGACCAAAAGGTCAAGCTACTTAGTAGCTTGATATTCTCTCATTCTGGCATGTATACTCCCAGCAAAAAACCATTGGGATTATATAATTACCATATTAACATAGATATATTAAGTTATGTGGTAGGGTCTATTGTGAAGTATAATAGATTAAAATTAAGGAAAGAACCATTTCCTTTACAGCATTCAGTTATCTAGTGTATTCACAGGATGAATATACTAGACAAGTGGCTTTGATCAATTCAATCAGGAGTAGTTTTTTTTATTATTATTTTTAATTGAAAAATAATTGCTTTGCAGCATTTTGCTGTTTTCTGTCAACCTCAACATGAATCAGCCATAGGTATACATATATCCCGTCCCTTTTGAAGCTCCCTCCCATTTTCCTCCTCATCCCACTCCTCTAGGTTGGTACCGAGTCCCTGTTTGAGTTTCCTGAGCCATGCACCAAATTCCCATTGACTATCTAATTTACTCAGGAGTAGTTTTGAAACAAGCTCTCACCCCCACACCTCGTCTCATTCTCGATCATTCTATTTTGTGAATTGCAGATTTTGAATTTCTGCCAATTTCTCACATTTCCACTTATTCTATATTTTAGGAAAATGGTAACTTAAGTCTGTAAGTGTCTCTGCACTTCTTTCTGTTGGCAGGTCAAGCCATAACTTTGAGTTTATCATTCAAAAGAGTAGGTGCTTTTCCTATTACAAAATAGAATGGCCCTCAAATTCTCTAAATTGCAAAGAGAAGATTAATTTCTGTGCTCCATTGAGACATAAAAATTTAAAATAAGCCTGCTCCTAAACTTTTCCAAATTCCCCAAATAGATTTTCACTAAATATTTCATATTTCTCATAGGTATGGAATGTGGGGATTAGGGTAGCACAGCTTTAAGTTGCTATAGTCAAATGCTGCCAGATTTTGATGCCACAGAAGAGTAAATAGTATTTCACAAAACTAGAAACTCTGAGCAAATTTTCTCATATGCTTTTATTGCTCAAAATTTGGTTTTTTTCTCAGAAGTTTTCCCATACATTGAAAAGAGTATATGGCATTGGTTTCAGTTTACCTGTTGGCTCTGGTGCTAGTTTAATTCTGGATGCTTAGTACTCGAATTATAAGGCATTTGATTTTTCATGACTTACAACTCTAGTATCTTTTACCCCCGAAGAGCTTTACCATCCCTGTTGCATCAGTGAGTTTTCTGTTTCTTTCAGTTCCCCTGTATAGTGTGTTTTATAAAATAATAACTTATAGGAACACATATGTCAAGTATTTTAAAATGTGTCAAAGTACTGCTAATCCATATAGAATAGTATTGATTTCACTATATGTAACATTTAATAATTTCAAAATTAAGTAACTAATAGATTTCAGTCCCTTCCAAAATTAAAAGAGTCAGTTTTTGAAGGGGTGTTAACATTGTTATGAGAATGAATAACATATTTATGAAAATAGTATCTCAGTTCCATTATTATATACATGTCTGTTAAACTGAATATAAATTAAACATTTTTGGAAGTAAATAATATAAATATTATTTAACACTCAGTTTATTCCCAATTGCCTATTAATAAAGAGAAATGAACACTAAGACTTAGGATGATTGAATGATGCATGGGAATCATTGCTTCTTATCCTAAGGGGGAAGTAATGCTCATAGCTTAAGTGAAAAATCACACTGAGAAGTTTCAGAATCTGAATATGTGGAGTTGACTTCCTGTATAATTTATAAGCTATTCAAATTATTTCTAAATATTATGATCTTTTATAAATATAGTCCAAAGGATCACTCCATAGAGTGTGCAGTTCAACCTAGGATAGGGTAAATCATGGGAAAAATCTTTTCATACTACTACCTGATCTCAGAATGGAGCTACTATGTGCTGATTGAAAAGACAGCAAACATTGACTGTATAATGGAACACTTTTCAGTGTTCATATTTGCTTTAAGGGCTTGATTACATATTTATCTATGGATATTATTACAATTTTAGTTAAATATTTACTATTAGCTTCCCAGTAGAATATGTGTGTATGCATAAATACCTACACACACGCCTTTAGAAACACTCCAAAACAAATCATAAAAATACAGCTTAAAAAAGGCATTCAAAATGTTAGGTATGTTAAAGAAAGCTTTAACATATGATAATGAATTGGGTACTAGACAATTACTAGACTCTTGTGAAATTCTTTCTGCCATAAGGGGGTCCGTCTAGTCAAGGCTATGGTTTCTCCAGTGGTTATGTATGGATGTGAGAGTTGGACTGTGAAGAAAGCTGAGCACCAAAGAATTGATGCTTTTGAACTGTGGTGTTGGAAAAGACTCTTGAGAATCCTTTGGACTGCAAGGAGATCTAACCAGTCCATCCTAAAAGAGATCAGTCCTGGGTGTTCATTGGAAGGACTGATGTGGAAGCTGAAACTCCAGTACTTTGACCACCTCATGCGAAGAGTTGACTCATTGGAAAATACCCTGATGCTGGGAGGGATTGGGGACAGGAGGAGAAGGGGATGACAGAGGATGAGATGGCTGGATGGCATCACTGACTCAATGGGCATGAGTTTGAGTAAACTCCGGGAGTTGGTGATGGACAGGGAGGCCTGCGTGCTGTGTTTCATGGGGTCGCAAAGAGTCGGACACGACTGAGTGACTGAACTGTGAAATTCTTTAGTGATTAAGTGAGGTAAAGAGTATTCTTTCAGTTCTATTTTGAACTTCTGTTGGAGAGAAATATAATTGTTATTAGAATGGGCAGACTGTTTAATTTTATTCCATGTTTAATTACCCACTCTCTCTGACCAAGAAGAAGAGTAAATTTCAGGGTATGGGTAAATTGACCAAATTTCAAGTATGGTAAATTTCATGCAACTTCTTCCTTTTTCTCCACCATTCATTTGTTCCCAAAATAAGTTTTAATTTATCAGACATTCATTAGAGATTCAATAGTTGGTTATACCTGTAGCATTCACAGCCGTGAGTGAGACAGTGCGTGGCTGGATCTGTGGGGGAAAATGGAGTGTTAAAGCCGTAGGGGTGGTAGTGTGCACAGGTCAAGGGTGCTATATCTGTAGACTAGTGGGTGAGTCATGAGCTAAACGATCTGAAGGAAACTCAATGTTCTAATGCATTGTGTTAGGTGGTGAGATGAAAATAATACATCACATCATCATGTTCTCTTCTAAAAATTTGCAGCTATAACATTAAAAACATGTGTGAAGAAATTAAGCACTTTTGAGCAAAATTATGCCCTGACCAGTGATACTGAAGAAGCTAGGGTTGAACAGTTCTATGAA